TAAAATTAAATTCATGCCCAACGTGGATAACTTTCACAACAACAACAAAAATACATTTCTCTATCTTCCCTTTTGTGAGTGTGTGTGGGAGGAGGAGGGTAAAGCTATGTGCTCACTTTGAGGAATGGTTGCTGCAAGTTGTAAGTGATGTACAAAAAGAAAGATTTGCTGTGCTCGACAGCAGATACACCAAGTTGAAAAATATTCAGTTCTGACAAAACCAGAAGAACTTGGAAGTCAAAACCAGCAAATTGCTCCCAAGTGTTAATATTAATTGATGTGGACACAGTGGCAAAATGAGGACAGATGCATGCATGGAATTAAGCAGCAGGCCACAATCTTTATTAAACTTTAACAGAGGAGAGTAGCGCTACTCACCCATCACCCACACTGTCCTATACCTGTGTAGGGGTTACAGGACTCCTTACCATATAGCCCATAACATGGCGTGATTCTCCTCAGTTTATCCCCTGGAACTCACCTCTCTCTGAGTCCTAGCACTCTCCCCATCACAAGGTGGAGAGACGGTGCAGCTGGATGGGCACCTTGGCCCGCAAAGGCCACAAGGTCTCACCCTATCACTTGAGCCCAAGATTCATCACCAAAATCCCAGGTCTTTTACCTCTGGGAACTGCTCATTTTATTTTCTTAACTGCACTAGAAACTGGTGCACAAGTTGCAATGAATAAACAACTCCTCCCCAGTTAGGTACTAAGTGCATTCCAACTGAACCATTGTGGCTCAAAGGTGCTGCGAAGAAGGCACAAAACTCCCTGGTCCTCTGCCAATTGGCTCATGGAAGAAAAATTCCTTCCTGATCCCCTTAACAGATGATTGGTTAGACCTGCAGTATCTGCCAGTCCAGGTTTCCTATTCCCAGTTCTGGTGGATAGGGTGCACTGCTGGAATGGAGCCAAATAGGCTCCACAAGGCACACACAGAGTTAAATTCTGGGATCTGGGGAATGCTGGCCAATGAACACTCCTTTTCCCCAGCTGGCCAACAGGTGCTAGAGACTCCCATGTGGAGGAGCTACCTATTATCCCTTGGTGAGTGTCTCCCTTCCTTGCTGCTGGGACTGTCCCCCTTTCACTGCCGGCCCCAACAAGTTCCCCCACCTGTTGATGTGGGTCAGTGGCATTTCTGCAGTTTGTAGGTCATTCAGATTTCTTTGCATCTGTCCACTAGTGTGCACATTGCAAAATATGCCTGTAATTAAATGACTGAGCAAACAAAAGAAATTTACTTTTTGACCACGTTTTGGAATGTATCTTTGACAGATAGGGCAATTTCCTGCAATATCTTTGGGAGATCTTACTGTATTAAGTTTATGTGTCACTGTGGGCCAGGGACTGCATATAATTCCACCAGGGAGGGAAACCATGGCTCCTTCAGGAACTAAAAACAGTATGGGGATGATCAGGCAAATTCACTCAGGTTGTAACACTTCCAAAGAAGTACCTCTGTTACAGTTCAGGGCAACTGAATTTCTCTTTAGTGGTCCAGCAAGAGCACCCAGACTCAGGCTTTCAGCTCCCCAGATGTTGCTTTTCTTGGGTGGATACTCGCATGTCACTCCCTTCTGATTGGAGTGTTTTCAGGCTGCACAGTTTCCTGCCTTCTCTGTGTTATTCCCTGCAGAGACAGGCTACTCAAGCACACCTGCTTGCTTTCCATTCTGAGACGGTAAACAGTGTGACTGCCCACAGATGGTAAACAGTGTGACATGTCCAGGCTAATAAGTATACCAGAGATTAGCCCAACCCTAACATGGGCTCTGGCTGGAACAGTCCTTCAATATCCCACCCAAGGGTTACTTGTTCTTTCAAATTCATCACAGCTTCCGCTCAGAACATGTCCCCCAGTCTTATGGGGACTCAGTAGACTCCAGTCCTTCCAAGCCTTCCCTAAGGACTGGGGCCCTACATGGACCAGGAATCCTGTCTGTTTGCTGCATCAGGCAGAAGGCCAGGAGCCTGTGTAAAAGCAGGCTATTAATCCAAAAATCCCATATTTGCTTGTTGGTCCATGGAGAATCCGGTTTGCACTAGTATATGCACACCTCTCCAGAAGGGTGGTTTCAAAGAGCTGATAACAGGAGGAAATATGTTAGCTTCCCCCTCCTTTTAAAGGAGTTGCACAGAGTTCCACAGTAACACATACACAATCACATTTTTAATACAATGGACTACAAAGACATGAAACCTAAGTCAGTAAAGTTCATTCAGGAGATTGCAGGAAATTGTCAGTCTGTCCCACCCACCACCTGGAAACGCTCATATATATTAGTTCAAACTGGATTCATGAGAGAGCAGCAGATAAAGAAAGGACTTTTTGATAAATAGCCTGAGTTTAAACTGACCCAGGGCCTGCTTTTTGATCCAGAAAATGGACAGGAACCTCTGTCTAAAGGAGGGCCCAATTCTTGCTGAAGGTTTGGAAGGATTTGAACTTCTAGAGCCCCATAAGACTGATGGGTCACCTCTGGTAAGTTTTTTAGCATGCATGTAGGACCTTTTTTTTAAAAAAAAAATACATTTTGTCTGTAATGCTTTTAGCTTAAGAATAAATGTGCTTGCTTAGCAGGAGCTGTGTGGTAATTTATAATTGTGGGCAATACACTGGTCATAGGCTCTTCAGGGAAGGCAAAGTGCAGGCAGTGGCCTGTTTACACAGTTTGACTTGCTGGGGATATCACACTGTAATCCATAGTGTTGTTCAGCCTTAAAACCCCAGCCAGGAGAGAGGGAGGGAGTCCCAGGTCTTCACCCCAGGGAGGTGACAGCTGGGGGCCAGGAACCTAAAGTGGGTGGTCTTGGTGTGCCACAGAGTGGGAATACAGATGCAATTGCTATGAAACTGTGACAGTCTCTATCTAGGAGGTTTTAATACTACACTGAACCATGCTTTTTGAGCATAATGTAAGTTTCAGAAAAATATTAATTCTTTTACATTTTAATGAGACATCTGAAACAAAATCTTTACTAAAATGCTCCTGATTTCTCCTTGATAATAATTCTTTGTAATCTGCTTTCCAATTTATGTTGAAGTAGACTTTAAGAAAAAAAGTAGAAGAAAAGTGTCTAGAAATGGAAATCTAGTGCACTCTTTGCAATATGAAGATTTGTTCAAGAACTTAAGTCTATTATTCTTCATTATTGTTATCATTATTATCATCCAGTCAGATAATTCCATCAGAAGGCCAAAATTTCATGTTGCCCAGTAGTAAGAATAAAACATAATGGGGAAATAATTAAAGAATCTAAATTTAAAATATATGTGCACACTCATTCATATATAATATTCATAGAATGAGCATGTACATATAGTTAGACTTCATGTGTATGTAAATGTATACACAAATGCACAAGGTGGTGAGGTAATATCTTTTACTGGACCAACTTTTGTTGGTGAGGGAGACAAGCTTTTGAGCCACACAGAGCCCTTCCATAAGTCTGGGAAAGGATCTCTCCCACCAACAGAAAATGGTCCAATAAAATATATTACCTCACTCCCCTTTGTCTCTCTAATATCCTGGGACAAACACAGCTACAACTACACTGCATGCACACATACACACTCATTCAACTGCATTAATGAATAGTAATGTGCGGGGGAGCGTGTTCATGCATGTGTAATTATATAAACTCACACAAAAACTATGTTAAGGGAACATTAATGTTGCAAAGTCAAGGATTCAAAAGTTAGGAAATGCTTGAATTAATTCAACTCCCTTTTATGTAGCATTATGATAGGGTCTTTAATTACATGGCCATGTGCTGTTTTTCAGGCAGTCTTCATTCAGTGCATAGGATGGACAGTGCTCAAATTGGGCATCCAAAATTAGAGGGAACTTTTGATCTTAGTATCTTTGTGCCTCAGCTCCCATCTCTAAAATAGGAATAATATCACCCACCGCATTTCAGAAGATGGTTATGAAGATTAATTAAATGATGTGTGGAAAGCACCTAGCATTATAGTAATGAGCACCACAGAAGAGACCATTAGGAAATTACTAATTATGCCTTAAGAACAAGATGGCTTTCACTTTTGGAATTTCCTTTTTTGATGGTTTCTCAGAGCCAAAATGTGGTCCTACAATTTGCAACCAAACTAGAAAAGTCCCTTATAATTTGTTCAAGGCTTTAACAGACTTATAGAACACAATTAAGGTCCCGACAACATGACCGATTGAAAACATGATATAACAAGGTCAGGGAACAACTTGGCCCCCTAACTTGGTTTTAACAGTAATATAGAAAAATCCCTTTAGCTGTATTCCAGGTGCTGTGTAGGAGACAGCTCATTATTCTGGCAGATCTCTGGCACCCAACTACAACTGTGGGGTTTATCTGACTGACCTGGATGGATTATATTTTGTGTATATTTTTTATTATGTAGTTTAATTATATGAGGCCCTCAGAAGCTAGCATCATAATAAATATTTATATAAATAAATAACTAAAACAAATAAATATAATTCCAGCTGGTCTTTGAAATAGATCAAGCTCCCTAGATATTACTAGTGGGCCTTTTTCTCATCCATATATAACTAATCTACCTTGTCCATGTGTTAGAGAAGATGCCAGTATTCCTAAAAACTTGTCACTCAGCTGCAGTCCTGATGAGGGTTGCCACCCTCACAATTCCAGGCCAGCTGCACTGCCCTAATGAACAGCAGCATCATACATATTAGTTACACTTAAATCCCTGGTCTGAAATGTCAACTGATGATAGTTTTTGTACTAAGAATAGCAACTGCTACATCATGCTATAGCTAATAAATATTGACCTTCCTTGCATTCCAAAAAAAAGGCAACCCTTTCCAGTATTGCTGTCACTTCAGTAGACTCCAAAGGAGGAAAATGACAATAGTTAGTCACCTTGACAAACTTCAAAAACTTATAAACAAGATATAGATGCATATTCAGAATTCATGTTTTAAGTAAAAAAAACCCCACAAACACACGTGCAAACATAAAATGCCTCATTTAGGTTACCTTGGATACTCTGTTTGCAACCTCTCTGCCTACAGTCAGCCCCTGAACAAAGGTCCGTGCAGCAATGAAAGCTCTAGTCACTTGAACCTTCAGTTTCCTGGGTACATCTCCAAATGGTTTCAGCTGGTCTGTGTATTTGCTTACACATTCCAGATAGTCCTCAGTGAAATGGTATTGGGGGTTTATGAGCTGGAACATTCGCTCCAATAGCCGAGCCCAGAAATCATTCAGCATCTCCTCCAAGTTTACATTGCCTCCTGTATAGTATCGTTTCAGTTCTGTGAAGAGGTCCTGGAACACTTCTGAATTCTGCATGTACAGCATTCCATACGTACGTACAAACATATCATTTAAGGATTTTTCTGCGTTCTCCAAAAGTTCTCGGAAAAATTCTGCAGAGAAAATAAAAAGGTATATACAGAACAAAATTAATAAAATGCCAATGGCATGTTTCTTGCCTTCATGATGGTATTGCCTTCATGTCGGTATTACCTTTAGCAAAATTTTCTCAAGTAAATGTTGTTGTGCCATTTGCATGTTTAATAGAAAAAGTCAGTTGTTTAAATTGGAAATAGGTTCATTTAAGAGCAATGGAAAATGTAAAGTATACTGTATTCCCCGTAGAGGTTAAAAAGAAACTTTAAATCCATAACTCTAAATTCTAAAAATGCATTTGAGAGAACTGAAATGAGAATTGTTCCATTATTTAAACCTAGCAATCCCTGCCACTTGCCAAACTCTCAATAGTGAACAGCCAATGTCCCGAATCTTGTGTACTAAACAAGAAACCATTAATGTAATTATATGTCTAGAACTACAGCAATATTGGAAAAGGCAAATAATGAAATCTTCTATTCTATTCTATTGAAGTTCTTCACTCATCACTATGGTATCTGACCTCCATGGTATCTTATAATTTACTTTCAGCTTTCAAAAATTCCTCAAAGCTTTGAACTGAGACATATTGGGGCCTGATCTTACAAGCTTTTCACATACAGAAGTCCCTTTAAACAGTACTACTAGCCTAAGATACACAAGATGTTGCTATTGTCAATAATTTAATGCTATTCTGAAGCACTGTGTTGGCATTTGAGCCAGTGTTTTTCAAACAGCCTGCCGACTGCAACTTTGTACAGATTGCAGTGTCTGGGATACCATGTTAGCAGCGGGTTTGTTTACCTATTCTTTCTTTTGACACCTGAGTTTTACCTGCTTCTCAGTTTTTTACCCAGCCTCAAGCCATAGCCTGTTCAAAGTCTTGACTTCAGGATTTTATGTTTATTGGGCAATGGGCCCATGGAAGCTTCAGCAGCCATCTCTCTTAAACATGAGCTCAGGAGGACATTGGGAGGAGGTAAGTTAGTCCAGGTTTTCTGTCACTGGTTATCCACCTTACACCACCACCAAGATACTTATTCTGGGAAATTACATTAAAGTGATTCACTGAAGACTTCCCTTAAAACATTGTCGGTGGAATTCACCACCATTACCCTCTGATTTTACATTTGAGTTCAGGTTCCTCACTTCATGTACTCTCTTTATAAATCTCCAAGGCTTGCAATGAACTCCCCAAACACAAACTCTGAGAGGCCAGAAGGTAGATTTCCCGAAGTTGTTTGGTGGGAAAGGAATAGCAGACTGCCTCCACTGGGGTTTTCTTCACTTGTATGATCACAAAGCTCTTTCAGAAGGTGTTGAATGGAGTCAGTGGGGCTACTGAGACTTTAACAAAACATTTAGAACAACATATTGTATGGATCAAACATTAGTTGGAAGGGAAAAAAAGTTTTAATAAATGCACCCAACTATCTATACAAACAAGACAATATAAAAGATATAAGAATTTAACATAAGCCCACATGAGGAAGGAACTATGTTAGTAATGGTAGGAATGAAAGCTAACTGCAGCAAGTTGCTTACTAGGATGTAATAATTATGCTATTGTGCATTGACTCAATAATTATGCCATCCCACAATTGTGTATTGACCTGGATAAAGCCATCATCTCCACATTAAGGAAAAGACGAAAAAGACTACATCTGCATGGTCTCTTTGGGTATACGCACATTATTTGGGGAACATGTGATCAAATCTTAAATTGGCAGGCTGAGGCAAATGGGGACAGACACTAATTTGATAGGAAAAAGATTCCCTGCGAGGCAAGATATTCAGGTACTTTATACAATACTTTGCAATGTAAGCTCTTAAGGTAACATTTTCAAAAGTGCTTAAATGTCAGGACCCTAAATAACACAGGTGGCTTTTAAAATTTTAGCTACTGTCTACAGTGCCGAGTGAAGCTTTGGATACTATTTGTCTAGGCAAGTATGTTTTCATAGAAACATAGGACTGGAAGGGACCTCAAGAGATCATCTAGTCCAGTCCTCTGCACTCATGGCAGGACTAAGTATTATCTAGACCAGTAGTTCTCAGACTAAGGCCACTGCTTGTTCAGGAAAAGCCCTTGGTGGGCCGGGCTGGTTTGTTTACCTGCCACGTCTGCAGGTTCAGCTGATCGCGGCTCCCACTGGCTGCGGTTTGCTGCTCCAGGCCAATGGGGGCTGCAGGAAGGGTGGCCACCACATTCCTCAGCCCGTGCTGCTTCCCGCAGTCAGTGGGAGCCGCAATCAGCCAAACCTGCAGACGCGGCAGGTAAACATACCGGCCTGGCCCACCAGGGGCTTTCCCTGAACAAGCAGCGGCCCTAGTTTGAGAACCACTGATCTAGACCATCCCTGACAGGTGTTTGTCTAACCTGCTCTTAAAAATCTCCAGTGATGGAGATTACACAATCAATCCTAGGCAATTTATTCCAGTGCTTAACCACCCTGACAGTTAGGAAGTTTTTCCTCATGTCCAACCTAAACCTCTCTTGCTGCAATTTAAGCCCATTGCTTCTTGTCCTATCCTCAGAGGTTAAGAAGAACAATTTTTCTCCCTCCTCCTTGTCACAACCTTTTCTGAACTTGAAAACTGTTATGTGCCCTCTCAGTCTTCTCTTATCCAGACAAAACAATCCCAATTGTTTCAATCTTCCCTTATAGGACATGTTTTCTAGACCTTTAATCTTTTTTATTGCTCTTCTCTGGACTTTCTCCAATTTGTCCACATCTTTCCTGAAATGTGGCACCTAGAACTGGACACAATACTCCAGCTGAGGCCTAATCAGCTCGGAGTGGAGTGGAAGAATGACTTCTCGTGTTTGCTTACAACACTCCTGTTAATACATCCTAGAATGATGTTCGCTTTTTTTGCAACAGTGCTACACTGTTGACTCATATTTAGCTTGTGGTCCACTATGATCCCCATGAATTCCTTTCCGCAGTACTCCTTCCGAGGCAGCTATTTCCCATTTCGTATGTGTGCAACTGATTGTTCCTTCCTAACTGGAGTACTTTGCATTTGTCCTTATTGAATTTCATCCTCATTGAATTTTGTATCTATCCTTTTCTTTTATGATTTTCTCTATGTAATTCTGTATCTTGACAATATATATCTGCTTCTATTGAAGACATCTGATTTACTCGTGTACCTTGTTAGATGGATTCATTATGTAACAGGCATTTCAAAGATAAACGGAATTCTGAAATCAAGGTAGGCAAGGACAGAATTCATGGGAGATGACCTGAATGCCAGGGGCAAGGCCTCACATTTATGCCGAGCACTAGTAGCTGAAGTTGTGCAAGCTGATCTTTCCTCATTGCTTGTGCAGCAGCAGTAGAACCAATCCGTGACCACTACTGCAATCTCATACCTGCCATAGTGCTCTTGGGAAGGGAATAGTCAGTGGATCCACACAGTCATGGGTTAATTAGATATACTTCCATCTCACATTTGTGCATCAAACCAATCCTTTCCTTCCCGCACCTCATAATTCCCTTCACGGTCAAGAAGGAGATTCAAGCTCTACAACATTCTCACAGTCGGGGTCTTATCCATGGCCTCTTCAGATGGTCCCCCCATCTCATGTAATAGACCCACAGCAGTCTCGTGGCTTCTAGGGGCCTACATAGAATTAGGAGAGCAGAATTTGTCCAATGATCACAGGTAACAGAGATTGTTACCTCTTATCCAAAAGAGTACAACCATATAGCTAGTGAGGTCAATTGTGGGCCAGTAGGAAGGCTGAAAGCTTATGCTCAAATAAATTTGTTAGTCTCTAAGGTGCCACAGGTACTCCTTTTCTTTCTGCGAATACAGACTAACACGGCTGCTACTCTAAAACCTGAATGATACAGGAGTTGCAAGGCCTTGTTACAGTCATTTCTACAAAGCAATTAGAAATCTTTGAGTGTTGAGAGGCCAGCAGAGTTCTGAGGGGTAGAGCCACAGAGAAGTATTCAGGGGCTTTTACAAATTATATTGTTCACTAGTTCTGACCTTCCACTTTTAGTTGAAAAGGTATTTTGCAGCTTTGATCTGGGAAGTCTTAATACAACTGTCAGATCTGAACTATCCTCAACATGATTTTGCACATCTAGTGTCTCTTTTCCTACTGTGATATTTGTGACTGCCTGTCTCTACGAACTCTGTTATGTGTGTTCCCAATTTGGGATTGGTAATTAACATCAGCTGTAAGATTGAGGCCAGATTCAAGGCTTCCTTCCAGATGCTTTTCATCAGTGACAGCAGCCATCAAACCAGTGGTTCCAGGCCCCTTAACATTCCCTTAGATCAGATCTTGCGTGTCATAGGATTGCTGCAGTGGTTTCTCTGCCAGCCCCTCCCAACCCATTGTTAGTAGTTTCAGTATTATCATAAGTGGTGTGGAAGCACCACCAGCGTTAAGGTTGTATTAAGACTTCTTTTGAAAGGTCGACCTTTCTAAATCCTCTAAAATTAACATACCTAGTTGGACTTTGAAAGTTGGTGTGCCTCAGGAAGGTACAGAGTAGGTTTAGTGACCCAGATTTAGGGCCACTTGAGCTAACGGTTGTGGAGATATAAGCCCAGCAAAATAGTCATTTTTCAAAAAGTTCCAGGGTTTTTTTTTATGGGGGGGGGTTGCATGTAGAGTTAGAGATCAAATTATTAATGTGATGTGGGTCAAAATGGTTTCATCTTGCCGAATTTTATCCAAGATAGTGCGGGAACCCACTACATTTTGGAAGAACTAAAACTGAGAGCAATATTTAAGAAAATGTACATTTTTTACAGTGTGCATGTGCCTAGAAAAACAGCTAGGTTTCCAGTCCCATAATTTTATATTAAAGCTTGACTCTTGTAAGTGCTTTAAAATTTGAATGGCTACACATACTGCTTTGAAATTTGGTGTGCCTTATATAAGCTCAGGGTAGTGTTAGTGATCGAAATTTGGGGTCATTTGCATGCGGTGGTCCTTAGTTACAGCCACCCCCCAAAACAGTATCCTTCTGCAGCCTTGTACTATTAA